CATGGGAATTTGGTGAGTGTATTATCGTTTTTCAGGTTTGAAAACCATGGGTGCACTTGTGGTCTCTTTTACACCGACGGACACGTGACACAATCAATGTTCAGGAGCTTCTCTCTGAGGAACTGGATTCGGTTTCAGAAGCAGCATTTTCCAGCGCTTCCTTTTTCTGTGCCACTATAGGGCATCTACGTACATCGATCTCTCCAAAGGTTCCATCAGGCCCTTCAGGAAAGAAAGGGAGGTGTTTCGCCATGTGGCGTGTGAGAATGTTGTTCTCATCCTGTATGAAAGATCCAGTACCCATGCCTGTATACAGGGGCAGTGTCATCTGATGCTGTCAACTCCAAGCTGGAGGTCAGATCCACTGAAGTCTGCGTGGAGGAAAAACGCGGTCAAAGACTTTGACACCGAACCGCGTCCTTGAAAGGAAAACCCTTCTGCCCTCAGTTTGAACCGTTCACTTGCTGGTATCTTTTCTTTGCTCTTTGTTGACATCCACCAAAAAATCTCTCAACTGACTGAGCTCGATGATGTCTACTTGCCGGGCATGTGCAATTTCATGTAGGTTGCAAGCAAGCAAAACAATCGATCGGCTGCAGACTTCATGTGCTTTCTACACCCCAGTCTGTTCTAACTTCTGCTTGTTGCTGAACAGGGAGCTTCAAGCAGTTGTACCACATGTTCTCATATGCTCTATAAGGTGGCCCACTGTCAGAAACCAGGTTGATGACTTCCACGTTTCCGATGCCCCTTCTTTGCTTCATTGCAAGCCCCAAGCACTGGCAAGAACGAGATGATGTATGATCCAAAATGGAACTCAAAATCAAAACATGTGTAGTCAGCACTTCTGCAGAATCATTGGATGCTCGCACAGGGCCCCAAATGGATATCTCCATGCGGTTAGCGTAAATTATTCCCCTGTTCGGGTCGCTCGAACAGGCAGCATGAACAGTTCCTTCCAGCCAAGAACAGTAAGGTGCCCCCGCCTGCGGTTCTTCCAGCAGCTTCCACAAAATAGGCTTCTGGCGTTCGTGGGCCGAACGATGGAAAATATATCCACCCAAGCTTGACACGGGCCTGCGCCTCCACAGAATGAAGGTCTACGCGAAGTCTTTGTGGAAAGCCTTGTCGTCCTTGCCTCCCATGGAAAACCTGTGCCGCGGTGCTTTGGGCATGGACGCTGCTCACTGTGGTTTTCAATGAAATGACGGACCTCCCGAAGGAAGCTCCAGACCAGGGCAATCTGCCACGCTGGCAGTTGCCGCATAATCGTCAAACCTTGCAAAATATCCAGGCATGAATTCTTCCAACTTGTCTCTGATCCTTTCACCAGCCGCGTGGCTTGGGGGAGGACCTTCTGCTTCAGGTCAACGCAGTACACACACACATGTCGCTTTCGACCTAAGCAGGTTTGAACTGACACAGGTGCTGCCTCATAACCCTGCGCATTGTGGCAATGGAACTGTTCTCAACTTCCCCGGGCCTTTCGTTCCAAATGCTGGTCACATCTCTGGTCAATGTCCTGACTTGCACCCATTCCTCTTTATTCCTGTCAAAGCAAATGCGACTGCTATCTGGGGGTGGGAAGAAAGCATGGTGAGCACTTTCGCAATGACTTCTGGGTCATGGTGGGGATCTTTTTCCCGGGTCCTGACATACGATACTCCCATGGCCTCTCATGTTTTCCCACCACAAAGATGGCATGACTCGCAGGGTGTCCTATCAAAGTTCACACGCTTGGAGTTAGCCATATGGCCACGACCCTCGCAAATCCTACCTCGCTGCTTTTGCGTCACTTCCAATGCGATGTTGGTCTTGGCGCGAAGACGTCCAAAGAGCGGTGCTCACTTGTTTCTCTGGAGAAGGCTGTGGCACCCTTGGCCCTTGGCTTTTTGGCTGGAGTGGCGAGCGCAGCCCTCACTAGTTGCCTTGCGGCTTGCGCTTGGTTTCTGAAGAGTTGCCACTCAGCTCGTCCACCTTGTTTTCTGGCACGTCAACCTGCCCACACCCATGGTCGTTCTCTTGCATGGCCTCAGTCTCAAAGGAGTTTTCCTTCACCTTGTTGCCTGGCAAGCCCACCTGCACTTCAACATGGAGTTCCTGCGAGACCTTGACATTCTCCACCTTGTTGCTTGCCCGGACCTGCTGTTCCACCTGCTCGGCCTGAGAGAAGCCCTTGACAGTCTCCACCTTGCTGCGTGCCGTGACCTGCTGTTCAACCTGGTTCGGTTCCTGCACGGCCTGAGACTTGACCACCTCTTCACCATGGCCATGCGTCACTGAGCCTCGGATTTATTGCCCTTCTCCATGGCCACCTGCTTGCCTACATGGTCCTTCTCCCCGCGAACCTTCTTCTCCACCTTGTTGCTGACAGCCACCTCTTGGGTCAAACACGCTAGGTCAACAGCTCCAAGAAGCAGCAAAAGTACGGCTAACTTACCTAAGGCACTGTTGTCTTTAGAAAATGCTTGAAGGAAAAGCAAGCCAAGCCTCAGGGCGTGGTGCACGCTTCGACAATGCCTTGAGCTCTGTCACGAAAATTCTTGACAGCCACGAGCTCTTGCAAGTCTGCCCGGCTAGCGATTCTTGCTCCTCTCTTCCCACTGGCTTCCTCGAATACATGAGAGCTTGGGTCATACCAAAGCTAGACTAGACATGTATTTCATTGTATTTCCACTTTGGCCTTGGCCCTGGAGCAAGCAAAGGAACAATCAACCAAACAAGTTAAGTTTCCAAAATGGAAAGCACCTGAGTTGCGCTATCTTGTAGCAACCGCCGCTCAATCCACACGACAAAGCCAGGCATAGCTCAACAAGCCAAGGGCCCTCACTAAAGAGCAAGTACCAATACAAGGCAAACACAGTACCTGAACTATGTTTCATGGTAGCATGTGATATATATACATATACACACAACATACATGTGTATACGTGTCATAACACTGTCCGTGTGATCGATGATGCAAACTGCAGCCCTCCCTCCAGGTTTGGAGCCACATGCCAAATGGAAAAAAAAACACACGATCTGATATGACTTGACTTCAAGTCCAGTCCTACAAAGGATGTTTAAACCCGTTATCGTTTTTGATGGATGTATTATCGGTTTTCAAGCAATATTCATGTTTCAAAAATCCCAAGACCAACCCAAGACTACCGTTATATGTTCATAAATTTTGATCATATATATGATATATATATACAATGTATATGCATCAGTTTCACCCATGAGAGTCTCAACCCTGTCTGACTGTGTCTTCAGTCAGATCCAACTGTATGGAGACCATTGAACATATTGAAATCCCAGCACCCTGGCTGGACTCATTCACCATCCTGGCTGTCACTCCCTTCCTGGCCTTCTCAGGGATGTGCAAGGGCTCCACGACCTGCTCGGCTCGTGTGAGGAGTTTTGGTTCCACCTCCGCTTTTGTGACGCTAGACCAGTCCTGGGGGAGGGGCCCATGTTGTTCTTTGGGCCAATACATTGCACCAATTCCAATTTGAATGTTCCTCCTGAAAATATGTGGATCTTCTTTTTGGATAGCTAGCAGCGCAGCAGCACTGCCCTCTGATCACTGCGTCAGTTGTTTGCTGATGATGTGACATTACATCGAAAGCTAGACATCACCCAAAAGTACAAAGGTTATAAAGGTTCTAACGGTGCGATTGTATCATGTTCCTTCAAAGTCTTGGTGCACACCTCGTCGCCGACCTCCCATGAGGCCTACATCTGCTTCCGACTCTGGCCGAAATCCGACTCCATCACTCGAGGTTTTGACCACAGGATCGCGGAATCGAACGGCCATTGTTTGACCTCCAGAACATCATAGAACACCTGAATCTCGATTCGTCGGAAATCCACTGGGGCCTGGAGCTCGGGTGTGGCTATCCTGCCGCGGTTCATCGGTGAGTCCCAGAAAAGGGTGTCTCAAGGCCAGTGACATGCATATTTGCAGATGACATTTGGATTTGGCTCACAAATCAAACACACCCACAAGTTTATATGAGCGTCTACCAAAACCTACTGTCAAGTAGAGGACATGATTCAGCAAGGTTACCACATTTTTAGGGAGGCCTGCATGCCTTTGCAGGATTTTGCAGGTTCTTTTCCCCCAATGTCAACAGCTGAACATATCATAACATATCCAAAAACCAGCGGAGAAACTGCGGAAAACAGTTCGCTTTCGAGGGGGGCTGAGGTTTTTTCCTGCCCAAAGCTTCCAGAAAACCACTGACCACTCTGTATACTAAATGAGAAAGGCACGTTTGGGCGGTTGCTCTATATAATTAGGGGCTAAAGGCAAGGATGTTCGGTTTGCCAGTGGGCTTGGGTTGACAAGGTACCCTTTGAGACTGGGGTTCTCCAACCACAATAAGTTGCTTGGCTCCGGTGCCTTGGCCTTGGTGTCAAAGCCTGGACAAGAAGGCCAGGGCCCACGGCAGACACACCGCGACTCTTGGTCGTTCCGCGACTCACATGTGACATGAATCGAAGGTCAAGAGGCTTCACGAACAACACATGTTTGACAGGTGCAAGCCTGGTTCGGGCATGCAGCCTTGAAGATTTGGTAGGCACAACCTTTTCATGTTGCAAAATTGTTGCAAGTATATCCAAGTGCTCAAGATTCATTGTGACAATTTCCGAAGCCAGCCAAACCAAATGCTTTGTCTTTTGGGCCCAGAACTATCATTCTGGAAAGGACTGCATCGACACACACATGGGGTCAGAACATCGCCTCCTTATATAGGTGGCCAATCCATACCAATCCAACACGAGTTTGGAGGTGAAATTGTCTCGTTGGAAGCCACGACCGGTCCTTTCCTCCTTCGTCCAAGCATCTCATCGGTCCAGCTGGCCGGTCACCTTTTTTGGGGGGGTCAAAATCTCACAACCGACGGGGTCCCCTTTTTCCCACCCCTGGAATTCAGGGGATGAGCGGACCGGGCGTGGACCGTTCAAACACATAAACAAGAACAGAATCATAGGAGCTGCATCCACCTGCCCTAGGCGGCCCTGGGTGCTCCAGGCCTCAGGGATGTTGCCAATCCCACAGAACACGGCCATGCAGTCCTGCCGATGCCGTTCGTGGTTGTCCGTTTGAAGCACCGCGCAAAACGCAAACACATTCCGTGGCGATGAGGTGAGCGGGTCAAGGTCTGACAGTGTCGGGTCAAGGTCTGAGGGCGTTGGCATCGGTCCGTCTTTGTGGTCTGGGGCTTTGATGGGGTGCCATATGGTGCCATGGAGACATGGAAAACATCGGGTCCGACCTTCACTGAAAACACGGGAACATCGTCCAAAGAGAGTCGGTGGACCAAAGGTTCTCAGCTGGATCTGGGTCAGCAAATGCAAAATTCCGGGTCGACCTGCGTTCAGCAAGGCGTGTGCACATGCAGCTGGAATACACATTCAGCCGGAGCACCGGGGCGTCTATAGCAATGAATGCTATAGCTCACATAACTATACAAAACATACCGGTAGTGTGGGGTAGTCCAGCCAGGACACCCCGACAGGAGGGTCCAGGTATATGATAACAGGGACCTGCTTCCCCACGCCGCTCAAGACCCGTAAGACGTGGCCTCCACCGAGGGCGCTTCCCGATACCTGAGCGGCTGAAACACCCCGCGGCGCGGGACACCACTCGCGACCGCTTCCACCCAGAGGAACCGACGTACAAAAAAGAACACCGAGGGTGTGTTCAGGGCCTGTAAAACCCAGCGCCCAAAAGCTCGGGAGCAGAACTGCTTGTGGGGAGTTTGACTGGGATTCAATCCTGGGGTCCCAGAAAAACAGAACCTTCAAATGCACGACCGGATCCATCAGGTGTTGATGTTATGTTTTCCACCGGTATATTCCTCGGATCCATGCTCCACGTGGACCGGAGAATGCCTCCGGATGTCAGAGAACGATGTCGGAGAGTTCATGGATGGCAGCCGAGAATGCCCATGCTCCATCCCAATAGATATGCTTCATCCAATGGTCCATGCATGTAGAAGATCCACAATTCCAAAGACGTGAACTTTTTTGTGGCACACACTTTTTCAAGTCAGATTTTGAACACAATATAACACAGTTGCCACAGGGAATCATGACTAAGACACGCCCACACATCCTCTATAATTGTGTAGTCATAGTAGAAAGAATCCCTGTAGCTATGGACTTTAAACATCTTACATCATCATACAATTATATGTCAATTAATCATCATTGATCTCTTCAACCAACCCCACTCGACCCCACTGAGTGACCAATACTGACCAGCGAACTGGACATGTTTAAAGTCCTCCCTTCGTGGTGGCCGAGACACAGGCGCATGAAGCTGCGATGGTCCAAGGGAACAGACCTCAGCCCATTGGTCAGTTGATGTCAGTGACGTGGGTATGGATGGGGCAAGCAATGGCAAGCATGTTACAATAACCTAGGCAGGTGCAAACTGGACACACTACTTTACATGTGTTTTATATTGCTTTATTCTAATAAACAACATGTACACTCTTTTTGTTTCCGCACCATCTTGAGGGCGTCGTTGGCTGAAATGCTTTAAATGTTTCGACCACAATGGGCGTCTAGGCCGGGTGGCTCCAATCACGACCCGTTGTGGTTCCATTTCTGCCAGCTTCCCTGAAGGTCAATTCTTCCCTGAACGACGTGAATTCTTCCGATCTCATCAAAGAAACTTTGCCTTCAACCGGGCTATGCCAGCGGTTCGACTCGATGCAGCGGCTTACGCCTACGCCTACGCTACTCATTGGTTCGTTCACCTTCCAAGCGACCCAAGCAAATGTTGCAATTCCGGGACCAGCGCCAGGAAGCCTGACTGAGCATTCGTGGATCGGAAAAGGACCCAAACACCACACCACACGGCTAAGGCAAAGGACAATTCCGGTGATGAACTGCCAAATGCACCAGTCACATGAGTACCAACAAATACCCAAAACATCAACAACCTTGGATTGCAATTGCGCATCAATACACGGTGCACGACGGGGACGGCCCACTTGCATGTTCATGGCCCACTTGCCGTTCCCGAAACGGTTCCTTGGACAAGTATCAACCATGGCTGCGTTTGGGGGATGATCTGAATGACGTCCACGACATCAGGGCTTCCAAGTGATTTTTGCAGAAGGACAACTTGCCCAATCAGGGAAGAACCTGAACACTGGAGCTTGGCATTCCAATCTTCCGGGGGAGACCACACCAGTGCCCCCCGCGCCATGCCAGGCACGGTGACCCTCAAAGTCCTGTGCAGGGGCGAATACACGGTGAATACAACTAAAGCCCAAAGCCACTCCTTTTCACACATGTTGCCTTTCATACGTCCGAGATTGTCAGTCATCTCATCTCTATGATGCATAATTATGGTGGCTGCCGTTGCTGGTCCAGTCGCCTCCTGTGGATCAAGACTGTCCGTCCAAGCGAGGGGCACACCATGCCTCCGCTGGCAGAATCTGGTTGTCCATGCACTATGCACCAATCCTCTTCTGCGCTTGCTTCACCAAAGACAAAGAAGACAACAACTCAGGAGCTGTCCAAAAGGGATTGCCCGTTCAACAAAAGCAGACTCCAAAACCGTGCGAAACAACAAGACGTCGCTGGAAGCACCGCTGTCTCCGGCTGGTCTCGTGGACCAGCGTCGAGTCGTTGGTCATACCTCGCCAGCAGGATGAACACGTTGTCAGCAGCTGAGAAGACAGTCGCATCTGCTTGGGCCTACCTGTCAGGTAGCCATCCAATGACGCTTGGACCCCTGGAAGAGGGCTTGTGGCGACCTGGGTTGCCGAGCCCCCAAAGCGGGCCAATGGGCAGTCACCAAGATTGGCAACAGCAAGCTCTGGGATGTCAGCCTCTTCTTGCTCATGCAAATGATTCAAAAGAGCAGCATCAGCCTTGTGAAGGCGTCCTTCAATCTCAGGCTTACATCTGCATTCTCCTCATGCCCCAAAATCTTTGGACGCTCTTGTTTGACGAAGCTGACAGCTTGAGAGCCGCCATGCCAGTCATACACTGCAAAGAAATGTCCTTCCGCATCAACTGCATCTTACATTTGGATGCGGCCGCTCATTTTTACACACCAGCTATGCTGGTGGTCTCCCCCGCTTGCATCACAAATGCCAGGTCGCAAGAAATCCTGTTTCGAGAGAAGGGCAACGCCTCCCATGGGTCAACAGCGTCTTGAAAAGTGAGATTTGTTGGAAGCATCCTCAATGTCTGGACCCCTGAATTGATCTGCTCATTGGAAATCATCCAGAGAGAGAGAGAGAGATAGTGAACCCACAAATATGTGTCCTTTTTGCGTGTCTTTCTTCAATATTTCTGAATCGATCCGAACTTTGGACAGCAGGCTCAATGGGATTCAGTGAGAAAATGTTGTCCACCCAAACGCTGGTTCGTGTAATTCATAGGCACAGAATCAGAATGCTTGTGGGTATATCTACAGGCATTCTACACCATTCATCACTATTCTACATTTGGGAGTCCGGAGTAGATCATTTCACTACCCTTCACGGGGCGATCATCTTTTCCCACAAACCTGCAGCCCATCACCTTGCCTTTGTGCTCTGCCCACTTCAGCGCCAACGTGCTGGGCGCAATCTTCAATCGCCCAGCTGCCTGGAGAAGACCCGGAAGACAAGCAAAAGCATAAAATCACAGCATTCCATGAATTGCATGGCCACCAAATGTTATTCAGGTCATTCAAACAATTCATCAATGTGAATATGACTCAAGATTCAATCCCCCCAAAGTCTATGCCTCATCTTGCCCTCCTAGGCACCTTCTATCAAGATCGCATGACTTTTCTGACCTCACCTAACTCCCTCCAGTTTCCCTGGAACATGACAGCTCAAACTTTCCACCAGTGCGTGTTTGGTGGGGAAAGCTTTGGAACGTGTCAAACCACCTCCTCCAAGGCACAAGTTCTTCATGTCCCGCCCGAACTGGGTGGCCCAGGCGGACTGGGCGTGTGGACTCTGAAGCCACGCGTTTTGAGGTCCGAAGATCTCGGTGCGAAGATCGAAACCGCCCGGAGCCCGAGGTGCTGGGCTGCTCCCACTGGGATGACTGAGGGATGACTTTGTCAGGTTCCTGTATTGGGCAAACAAAGTCAAACAACATCACAAAAATATACAAAACTCGTTATATAACTGCATTTATATATACACTAAAACATTATGATATAATTATATAATTGGTAGTATTATATGATGATATATGATGTGTTTACTCAGATACACAATGTAAATATTAAACTGTCATCCTTGGGCGCAGGTCCCAGACCTCCAATAGAACGGGCAGGTCTTGAACACTTGCAGCGTCCTCCGTTTGGAGTCGTTTGTCGCACCAGGACAGGAAGACTCAATCAGAAGCATCTGCCAGCAGTTCCATGTCCGGGGGAGGCCGAACTTGGAGACACTCACTGAGGTCCAAAAAACAACTCTATATATCAAAACATCATGCCGGTATGGTACTCCTGGTGGTTTACAGTACCCATCAGGATCCGACCCGATGCGACCCATGCCGTGTGAACCCTTGGGGTGACAGGTGCCTTTTTCAGGCGCAGCCCTTTCAGCAGCTCATGCGGTTGAGCGATCCTAAGCCCCGGGTGCTGAGTGCCGCTGCGCCATATGCCATAGGCAAGGTCCCTTGGCCTCGGCGTGGACGGCCTGTCCTGTCTGAACCTTCTGAGGACACCTGTGGACGGCACAGAAACCTGGTTTAGTCCACACCGCTTGTCCCAGGAGTCTGGAGGTCAGTTCGAACACAGAGAAAAGGCAATCACAGAAACCCGCTAACTCACTAGCGTACCAAGGAAAGCAGGGCAGCTGTGAAGCAAACCTTCTCATCACCTGCAGCGACATGACATCCGTAGCTGCTCGATCTGAGGCATTGACGCCCACATGTGGCATGACGGGTTTAAAAGGACACACACTTAGAATAGAGCTCAGATGAGCACACTTTCAGACACTGAATGCATTATAGTGCGTTAGACATGGTGGCACCTTCACATGACCTGTCGCAAAGGAAACAAATACACAGGTTTTTCTAGTTCTACAATGTTCCACCAGTTCGCTGGAACTGGTCTGGGAGCGGGTCGCACCGGCCCCCCACCGCCCGAGCGGTGGACTCTTTTTTGGTGCCCATGAACAGGAAAATGACGCCAGCATCGCAGCAAGGGCAACAAATTGAGTGCTAAAACAATCCATCAACTCGTGCTTGGCATGTTGCTTTGGATTGAATGTCTTCCTCAAACAATTGGCTCCCTTTGTTGGCCTGTGGGATCCCTTTTTCTCCAGACTTCTATATACTTCTACGGTCCTACGGTCGTGTTTGCAAGGGAATATGAAGACAATTATTGAAGACTCTTTCCTTTGCCTGTGTCACGGTCGTTTCTGCACGGTCGCTTTCATCCAAAGCACAAAACTCCTGGTTTACGGCAACACCTTTGGATGCCGTACAAACGATCCTTCGCGTCATCGATCATGCGAACAGACGCAGTGGACGCAGCAACGAGAAGCCTGCATCAAGCTTTTCCTTCCTCAGCTTTAGCCAGTGTCGTCTTTGGCTTGCAGTCCTGTCATCTCAGCCCGAAGGCCAGAATCATGCTTGACCAACTTCTTTGCCCAATTGGAACTCACTATGCAAACCATTGGCAGCACACCGGCTACTATACCAGCAAACAAATAGAAAACGATGCACAAAGTAAGTGATAGCCAGTGTTCTTCCGTCGAGTCAATACATACACCCACCACTCTGAAGTCCATGATCATTCACCAGGTTTTCACCCGACCTTCAAAGTTTGCACCTCGGTACCAAAGGATGGCAGCACCTCGGTACTTGTCCCAGGAGAATAGCCAGAACAAAAACACACATGGACACAACATGATTTCAAGTTGGATCATGGAACACCAGAAGCACAAAGAAGCATTCAGCTATAGGCTATATTCAGCTCATTTTAGGATCCATTCTCATCCGAGTTGAGCTCTTGGCTACATCACACAGTCAGCTAGTCGTCGTCCCATCTGCGTTCCCATCAACCTCTTCCCGTTTTCCAGAATTTTGCCCACCAAACGCGGAGGTCCTGATGATTTCTGCAAATCAGCAAACCACTCCTCCGCGTGAAACGAGTCCGAATCCTCGCGCGAGGAAAGGCCGCCAGATGTGAGGATTGCACGCGGGTTGATGGGCATTCTGTAACATGACATGAAGCATGTTGCGCATCAGTGCATGAGATGTTTGGTTTGGAAGACAAAAGGACATCCAAACAAACAGGTCGCAATGGGTCCAAAGCAGCGGAACACTCTTCCCAGAAGACATCCGAAACTCCATAAATCACTGAGCAGGGCCGAGCAAGCACGAGCAAGGGTCATGGTCGTAAACCAAGGTGGAGCAGCAGCAATTCACAATCCTCAGCACGCCGCATCTTGTCGAAAAAAGCGCTGAACGCGACATGTTCAGCGACTTGTCGACTGTATTGGGCTGTGCATGGCTGTGCATGTTGGTCGACCTAACATCCTTGACCTAAACATGGGCAGCAACGACTCAATATATGTTTCCATAAACTCAACCCTCCCCAAAAGGAAATCTGACCCAAATCTTGCTTGAAGGGTCTCCGATGACCTCGTTTGAGCTCAAACAACCACAACTCGTTTGGCGGTCAACTGACCAGCCCAGCTTGAGTCTCACGAGTGAACTGGACTTAGTCTGTTTCTATGACTGGAGACATCTGAACTCTTTCACTGAGGTATCCACCCAAAACATCCAAAAAAGCCCTTCGGTGGCCCAAATGGGTCGTGCAGCTCTTCACCTTGGGACATGTTTTTTGATGTGGGGTTTCTCAGACGAGTGTGAGGATTCAAAGGTTGGGATCCTCATCATCACAATTTTGGACTGTTGAGGAATAACCTCCCACATATTATATATAACTATATATATATGGCCATTGTTTATCACTTTTTGAGACGACGTGAGTCATGAGACGACAGGTAGCTCGAATCAACGGTCGCCCCGTCCCGTGCAGGCTCGGTGATGGGCGCAAGCCACAAGTCGCTAGGTCTTGCAATTGATTGAGAATACGAGCGGTGCCACGGTCGCCACTCTTGAGTTCTCAAGCGTTAATTATATATATATACTGATTCCACCAAAAGCTACGGAAAAAAACGCATAGTTATCTTTTACATTCTTTTACATTCACAACAAACTACAACAAGACAACGCCAGCAACGTCCGTTCGCCGCGCGCCGCTTCGCCGCTTCGAGCGGCGGGGACTTCACCAGGCGCTTCGCCTCGTCCGGCGTGGGGGCGATCTGCGCCGCCGACCAGCGGATCCTGGGACCGGTGGGGACCGACCGGTGGGGGCCATGGTTGACAGATGTTGACAGTTGAATTTAGTAATATATATATTGAAAAACGGGCTGCGCACCTTTTCAAAAGGGCTTTCGGGCCTAGAGGTTTTGCGGATGCAGGTGTATGTGAGCGACTGTGTGGAACCTATGTGCATTCTGACACGGCCTCTTCGCTCACACACACCTTGCAAAAGTCTATGGGCTCTCCTTTCGCCCAGTGTGAGCAGGATTCGTCAAAATGAATCACCCTGCCATTTCCACACTTCCTAAAATTCAAACACTTCTTCTCAAGCTTGATGGATCTCTTCTCCACCAGCTGATACATCTGGAAATTTTCTTCGCGCTGCACTCGGGCCATTTGCAAATCCACCTTCAAGTCTTCAATCATTCCTTCAGCCCGTAGCAGCTCCTGTTGTAGGTCATCTTTCTGGTCTTCCAGATCTTTGATTTGCTCTTCATACTTTCTCCACAGGCTGCAATCTAGCCTTTGGATCACTTGAGTTTCTTGGTCATGTCCTGACCTCTGCTTCTTTGCATTCTCATCCTCGTTTGCCACTTCATTTGTCTTTTCCTTGGTGAACATGTTCTCAAAGAACTTTTCCACCATGCACCGAAGCCACTGCATCACGCTCAAGGCCCCGATCAAGGCACACAAAATGAGTGCCCACCATTCGAACGTATACGCATTGGGCTCAGTCTCGTAGTTCACTTGCTCTCCCGCCACTGTGTCCAAGCTTGCCATCAGCAGCAAAAGTCCCACACGTAAGTCTTTTCCTCCTCTCATCAGCTTCTTTGTACCTCTCTTGATCTGATATTGGTATTCTATCTCTTTGTATTCCTCTCGTCCAACTCTGTCTCCGATGGCGTTGATCACCTTCATCATGTAGAGCAGTCCGAAGAGTCTCTTCTTCGTGAGGCTTTTGGTGCCGACATCAGCACAATTGAGTTCTGTTGGAATTGCAGCTATGCTCATCACCTTCTCCTTTTCCTTCTGCTGCACCCAAAGCAACGAGGCATCTAGGTGCCTCACACGGCCGATGCCTTGCCTCTGCACCATTGCCCTTGCTGCGCTGCTATCGGATCTCACCTTCATTTTGCACTCTTCTCCTGACATCTCTTGCCACAGGTGCTTGATCAGCATGCCGTCTGAGCATCCTGCCACGACTGAGACAAATTCGGCCTCTCCAGAAGATAGTGCTATTGCTTTCTGGCTTCTGACTCTGCTTTCGATGAGGTTGCCATCTATGTAGATCTGGAATGAAGACGTTGACTTTCTGTCTTCTCTGCTTCCAGCGTAGTCCGAATCTGTGACCACCTCCAGCAAATGAAATTCTTCTGGATCTACCTCTTCATCTTCTCTTGGGTCAAGCATTGATCGACCCTTCTCCCTTCTGCTGAGGCGAACTCCAAAATCTATGGTACCATATAGGTACGAGCAGAGATGCCAAGCTCTCCTCCATGCTTCTTGCGTTGGTGCTGCCATCTTCTTTGCCAGTGACTGTATGGCAAATTGTGCATCCGGTCTCTCGCTGGCCATGTACATGAGTCTTCCCACAACACTCCGGTATTTTGTGATATCACTGTCCTCTAGGAGTGATGACTCATCCTTCTTGATGGCATTTTGGTCCATTGGAGTCTTTCTGTATGCTCTCTTGAACAGGTCCATCTCCTTCTCGAGGCCATCATATTGTTTCCTGTCGCACCTGATGTCCACATATTCACGGGCCACATTGAATTGCCTCTTCAAGTAGAAAAACTTTCCTCCTGCTTGGAATGGCCCCTTCTCTTCCACCTTCCATCCTTTCTTCTCTTTGAGGAAATTGACAAACCTCAAAAGGACAGACTCTTTCCCTATCATGAAAACGTCATCAACGTGTACTGTCAGCATCATTTCTCCGTGCTTGATGAAAAGCGTAGGCTGCATCTGATCTTGTTTCATGCCAAATTCCTTGCAGCCATTTGCAAACAGCTGAAACCATTGCGCTGCTGCTGTCCGCTGTCCAGGAAGGCACTTCAACAATTTGTACACCTTCTCTCCAATCCTCACATATGCCTTCTCGTCTTGTGGTTGTGGGGACATCAGAAAGGCGTCCTTGATGTCAAGTGTCATCCCTGTATAGTTGCTGAAGCAGTTGATCCACAAATGAATCATCATCTTTGGGATGATCATGAGTGATGTAGGTGCAAATGTCTGTTCCATTGCCACACTGCTTTTGAATTGTCGTGCCACCAATCGAGCACGTCGGAACCATCCTCCTTGTTCCAGCCTGTGTTTCCATGTGATAACCATCTTGGTGCTGATGATG